AAAAAAGCAGCTTTCGATGTACTTTGGGTCCGCCTCGGATAGGTATATTAGGAACTAAACCTATAGGACCTTCTGGAAATATTCTTGCTGCAAAATCCACTTCTTTATTGTCTATCTGTCGGCTTCACATGTTGCAAACCCAAAAATGGCTAAATACACCATTTCCAGAGAGTAACAGAACCATAAAGATGTCTTGTTTCACTCTTGAATGCCACACAATGAGAGATAAAAATAAATCTTCCCTTTGAGCAGATTTTGAAGAAACCAGTGATATTTGAGGATATTGATGAGTTCAGTCAGGATGATTTTCCTCTCTGCTCTGAACAGTAATTCTGCAGCAGCTGGAGCAATGTGTTGACACTGACAGCAATGCAGAGAGACACACTGAAAGGAATTTTAGGGCTGCTGGCAACTGTAAATTATCACCCGCTGCTCAACGCTGTAGCTGCAGGATTATGCAACTGTGTATCTCTAAATGAAAAATTTCCATTGATGCCTCAGGACAGGGAGGTGAATTTTAAAAAACAGTGGAGAAAGGGAGAGAGAGGAAAATAAGAGAGGAGGAATGAAGAAGCGAGAAGACAGAAACGGAGCAAGAAAAGATGCTTCACTTTGATGTTGATGCTTCGGCTACATTGTCCTTAACTTTCCTGCCAACAAAGCACATTTGATTTCAAGCGAGTTGAAAGAGGATGAGAGGCAGAAACAGAAGGAGAGAACATCTGCATCCTTAGCTGCTCTGACTGTAGATACTCTGTGGATGATGTGTGTGTGTGTGTGTGTATTTTGAGCTGATGTAAATGTAAGAATGTCAAAGAATCACAGATTTCTTTCATCTATTTTTAGCCGTGTTGGCGGCACGTCTGTCGGGATGGAAATGACTGTCTGTCGGATGGTTGGACCACTGTGGTCCAGACTCAAATATCTTAAGTACTGGATGGAAGGTGTCGTACAGACGTTCATGTTCCTCAGAGGATGAATCCCTCTGGTTTTGGAGATCTGTGACTTTTCTCAATGCACCACAGTGAGGTTTTCATTTGTGGTTTTGAGTGAAATATATTGGATTGATTGGAGGGACTGCTGTGAAATTTGCTACAAACATGTATTATCTCTTCAGAATTCAATTCAATTCAATTCAATTTTATTTATAAAGCCCAATATCACTAATCACAATTTGCCTCACAGGGCTTTACAGCATACGACATCCCTCTGTCCTTATGACCCTCGCAGCTGATCAGGAAAAACTCCCCAAAAAACGCTTTAACGGGGAAAAAAATGGTAGAAACCTCAGGAAGAGCAACTGAGGAGGGATCCCTCTTCCAGGACGGACAGACGTGCAATAGATGTCGTACAGAAC